TTTTTTCAGCAACACGATCTACGTGATGAACTGCTGGACGATTATGCCGATTTTCTGTCTCTTCAGAAGGCTTTAACGAGTATTGGCATTTCAACCAGCGAAATGAATGCAATTTTTCAGACGGTGGCAGCTGTTTTGCACTTAGGAAACATTTGTTTTGAAGAAAATTCCGACGACCGTACAGGTTTGTAGGAGAGATTGGGAGTATGAAGCTTAATAACATTACTGTAAAACGATTAGTATAGGTGCTTGTATGGTTTCTGAAAACAGCCAACGATCGCTACAATTCGCTGCTAATTTGCTAGGCTTAGACCCAAAGGATTTAAGTCGTGGACTTCTTTTTCGCACTATGCAACCAACTAGAGGAGGTGATAAAGGAACAATGATCAGGTGCGCTAAATTTTACACTGACTATGGACTTCATTGAAATAATAACTACTTTTTACGTCTTCTTCAGAGTTCCCTTAAAATCCTACGAAGCTGCAGCGGCAAGAGACGCACTGGCAAAAGCAATTTATAGTAGAATGTTTGATTCAATTGTTGCAGCAATCAACCGGTGTATACCATTTGGGGACAGCGTTTCATATATTGGAGTTCTTGATATCGCCGGATTTGGTACTTAATGAAACCAGTAAATTTCTCAAATTACACTCAAATAACATCAGAACTTTTTTTCTTTGTTACTGAACAATAATCTTTGGACGGCACATATTTCACCTGTTGTATAGGGTATAAAACTCTCTAGTTCTTTGACACTGAGGTTGAAAGTGGTTAATAAGGAACTTTCTATATGGTGACTAGCGTTTGATTTTATGTAATAGGCAGTAAGGAAATAAGTAGTCTTGAATGTCACAGTTATTAAATAGAAGTTTTACTTTGGCAATTATTGAAAAATTTTTGATGACAATACGTTTTTCAGAATTTTTCACCGTCAATTCATTTGAACAGTTTTGTATCAATTACTGCAACGAAAAACTTCAAAAGTTTTTCAATGACAGGATTCTTAAGCAGGAACAAGAATTGTATGCGATTGAGTACCTAAATGTTCCACATATTGAATACACCGATAATCAAGACTGTATTGGTAGGTTTTTTTGTAGCATAACCACTTTTGTTAAAAGCCAATTATTTGGTCAACCCATTTTTTTTTGTAAGTTTAGCAGTAATTTTTTTGCAGAGTTATTTGAAGAAAAAGTATGTGGTTTACTTGACATGTTAGACGAAGAAGCTCGATTACCACGACCTTCACCGAAACATTTTACTGCTCATGCTCATCAACAATTGAAGAATCATTTCCGATTTGCGGTAAATAGTTCTACTGTTTTTCAGAGGTTTTTCCGGTTTTTAAGCTCAATAATTATTTATGATAAACTTTCATCTGGTAACAAAAACTATGTGCATTGATGGTAGTATGATAAAATAGCCATAAAAGTATTTAACTTCAATTTTTTTGTTATTACTTTTTAATTACAGTCACCAAGAAAATCAAAGCTTCGCGAGCATCGTGAAATTCTAGACGACGAAGGTTTTCTTATCAGACATTTTGCTGGTTCGGTTTGTTATGAAACCAACCAATTTCTTGAGAAGAATAATGATGCGTTACATACGTCATTGAAAATTTTAATACAACAAAGCAGGTGAAGCTATACAAGTTTTCTGAGCACATAAAAATTATTTACGAAAAAAAATATACGACAATTTGGCTTTGCAATTCATCTACAACTATGCTTTATGTTACAGCCTGTTCCAATAATGGTGGTGAAAATATTAAAATTTTATAGCGTACCTTACATCTGCAGTTTATTTGTGACAAATAATCATCAGATGAAAATGGAAGGTCGAAACAAGGTGGTGACTGGAAAACTTGCTTTTCAGTCAGTTAGCTATAAATTCAGAATTCAACTGCAAGAACTTCTCGACCGATTGGTTAACACGGTAAAACTTGCAATTTTTTGTAAAACAAACGAACTTTGGACAGCTCCACTTCAACTAAGCTTTTTTTTTTAAACCTTCCTTAAACCGTTTCAAAATTATAGCCGCTACAATGGTCTACTTGCAAACTTTTAGTACTGGAGAGAAAATCACAAAGCAATGAATTTTACATATTATATTATCCAGATTTAGGAAAGATTAGGCGTTTTTCTCTCACAGTGACTTGTTGAAATTTTTGTCTTTCTTTGACTTTAATAGAATTTAAAGATTTTGGTGCATTTGACCAGTTTTTGCTACGCATTGTTTCAATTATAAATGCCTGCTTATTTTGACTAGTTGTATAAATAAAGTCAGCAACTGATTTGAAAACGACTGTCTGAATAGCTATTAAAAAAATTTTTTTTGATATAAAATGATGTAAGATATAAGGGTCTATGTTTTGCAATATTTCAAATTCAAAGTTGAATCGTTGGTAGGATTGTTTTTCCCGGGGCAAAAAGTGTTTTCAATGCTTTTTTACTTGATTACTTTGGAAATGGCTCCTTCTAAACAGGACAACTTTACCCTACCAGTTTGTGACTGCAGAGGATGCAAAATAGTACATTTTAGTGTGGTTTGTATGATTTGATTTAATCCTACCTTTCATTTAATTTTTCGCGAATCTTCTTAGGCTTAACTTAGTGTACAGAATTGCAACTTTTAAAAAGACGCGCTTTTTTGTCAGGGTAATGTAAAAATTCGCTTCACATTTGGTTTGCATACTATTTTTTTTTTACAATTAGTCAAACAAAATCTTAAAGTAGAGAAAAAACAGTTAGGGGTTCCAAAATCCATAAATTTTATTAATTTTATAAAAAATTTGGACTTCAGCCTAAAATCGAGCATTTTCATCAACTTTGGAAGGCATCACATAGTGACAAATTTGTTCTTTTAAGGTTC